CGAGTTTACTTGGAGGGATATTCCCACAGTTCATAAAATGACATAAAAAAACGATTTTTGATGGATTCACTTCTCCACATTTCCACTTTTCCTTATACATGTAACCAGCCATATGGAAATCCCGGAATAAAACAAAAAAAAATGAAAATTGTCAAACATCGTCGATTTTTCTATAACAGAAAAAGCAAAAACATAATGCATTAATGTTGAGAAACTACTACATAATTGATGCATGCTGTTATTGCAGTGTCCAAGTAAAAAAGTAACATGAGTAAAATAAATTTCTCCAGTATTCATAAATGTACATACGAATTCGTGCAAGCAAATGATAATGAACCCTCTTCTAAGGGTTTATTAATCGAGCAATTATGACCTGATTTTCCCAGTCTTTAGATCCAATGGAAAAGAGGACCTGAATACAGTTGAATGCTTCGATCCATTCCTGAACTACTGGTTCACTGTTCCGCCAATGAAAGTGGTCTGGAAAAATCACTCTCTCTTAGCCTACGACAATGCAATCTATGCCATAGGAGGGTACGTAGGAAAGAGTCTTTAATGTGCGTCATTTACTTTCTTTTAGAGAAAATGACTCAACCGCTCTTTCTTCCATGGAAGTTCTTCGTGAAGGATCGTGCGAATGGGAATTCGTCGAATACTTGAACACTGGGAGAAAAGAGTTTGGAGCGGCCGTTGTTCCGATATCTGTTAGTCAGTTGAGATCGTAATCGCAACTGAAGTCTCCTTTTCCCGTCAAAAAGGAGCCTTACAGCCTTGTCTCAAAAGTGCATTCACGGATCATTCCTCTAATTTCTTTCCCCTCTGATTTGTCACTATACAAGCATTGCTTGTTATCATTGTGGCTCAATATGAACGATGTTTCTGATTATCGGATAAACGTTGTTTTTTTTGTCGTCACACTTGAACATTTTTTGTTGGACTAAAATTCAATTGTACGTAATCTTGGTGATTATTTCGCGGAGTTTGCAACAAAACCACCGAAAGCGGGGTGTTTGGATAAGCGCATCCATGACCAGGATTCCCGAGCACCTTCGCGTGCTGCCCCATGGAACCCCGTTCGAGCACAATCTCGATCCGACGCTGCATATTTACTACAGCGGTGCAACAATACGGGTAAAACGCAACACGAGTGTGTGATACTTACAAACAACTTAACATTAGAAGGCTGCCATGAACGGCTTGCACACAATCGTAGCTGACGGGGTCCACTCGT